CCACATATTTCAAATTTCGAAAGGCAGAAGGGAGCATACTGTAAAAATTCTTCTCCTCACTTCTCTCCCCCAGCTGTTTATGTCCTTTTGAAAAAAAAAAATTGTCAACCAATTTCTTTTCAGTTTTGCTCTGAAACATTGTAATCATATATCAGAAAATGTGTATATATATTATTAACTGTTACAGTAGTATGAAAAGGAGTATGCAATCAACACTGCTCTGTGGCTGATGTCTTAGTGTTCTTCCACATAAGTTTGAGATAATTGTAGACCACCTTCTTTGAGATCACTCCAAAACTTGACAGTTAGTATCTTAATTTTCACACTGAGATGTTGAAAAAAAAATTGACAAACAATTTCTTGGTTGACAGAATGTAAGAAAAACACATTCTGATGCTTTTATGTAAATTATGTAATCAAATGTTTTCTGCTCACATAAAAGTAAATCAAAATATTTTGGACTAGGGCCTCCTCGGTGGCTCAGCGCTTGAGCACTGGGTTGCAAAGCTGCCCGAAGCCTTTGCAACGCTGGTTCGATCCCAGGCCGCCGGGCGAGGGCCCCACATAGCACGCAGACCTCTCCTGCCACCTGCTGCTCCCCTCAGCAGTGTGCTTCATCTGTCTGCCTGTTCTGCTCTCTGCTCTGGCTCTGGTGAATTCTCTCACCCACCCTGCGCTTCTGACTGTACCCAGCGCTTGTATAAATAAATAAATCTTTTAAAAATATATATATTTTGGACTAGATTTAATTAATTTGTATTATGAATGAAAGTATCTTTTCATATGTTTAAGGGATTTATGTACTTCCTATGTCAACTAACAAACTCCTTACTCATTTTTTTTCCCATTGAGTTTTGCTATATAATGATGTACAAAATAGTAATCTCTGTTTGTCATTTCTGTTTTGACTTTATATTGCTTTTTATCTTAGAGAAGTTTTTAGTTTGATAAATGGCATTTTTAAAATTAGTGACATAATTAGAAAGTCATTTTTATCTCAGTTTATTTTAAATTCTTTATTTTCTTCTGGTACTTTGTGTATTTTTTTCCCTGTTAAAGTTTTAATTTATCTGGAATTTGTTCTCGAATAAGATGATAGATACTGATCTAAGTTTAGTTATTTGACACATTGTCCCAATCCACCTTTTAAATATGTTATCTATGTTTGCCCTAGACATAGAATATTTAAATATTCTGTCATTTATTTCATATACAAAGTTTCTTTACATAGCAAAGTTTATTGATTTTCTATTCTATTTTATTGGTCTGTCTGTCTTAACATGTACCAAGATCAAACTATCTCAGCTTTGTTACATTTTCAATTGATAATTGCTAGTATACCATAATTATATGTTGCAATTCCATTAAGCAAACTTGCAGAAATTTTAAGTTAATTTTTATCATTTTTCACTTCTTTTGAATTTTCAAAGTAAATTGTCACATCATCTGCCAATGTGGGCAATCTCTGAATCCCAACCTTTTGCAGTCTGGAAAGGATTCATAACCCTGTCATGCTGCTGAACTTTATCCTTTTGCTGTGTCTCTCTGCTTGAAATTGTCACCTTGAGACTTTATTTAGCTAGTTAGAAATAGGGAGGGATGCTTAGCACAAAGGGGAAAACACTCAGGTCTGGTAGTGACTATAAGTTCTGCAATCCATCACTGCCTCCCACTGGCAGTGAATTGAAGCTGGGTAAATCAGAAAGAACCCACACAAGCAAAAATGAGATTGTGACATATCATCTCCAAGTCAGTCTTCCATCATTAGTCCTTGAGGTTTCTCCCATATATCCCAAGCACACATAGTTCTCAAAAGCTCCTATTACATTAAGGGATTCTCATAGTCTTTTGAATTAGAATTTGATAATACTTAAAAGCTACTCAGCAACTTTCTGACCTGAAGCACCTCCAGTGCTGTTTCAAGGAAGAGAACGCATTACCTGTGCAAATTGTTATAAATGTTGAGAGCCCATTAATTTTCCCTTCCCCCACATTTTGAGGCTATGTGGTTAGATCTACATAAAGTAGCCCTAAATATAGTAATTATACATAGCTTTACAAGTGGTTCTCAAAGTCTTGTCCTATAGTTTTTAGGGTAATTAACTCATAAATGCAAGAGAACTTTCTAATCCAAATTCCCCAACATTGGTGGTTAATGGTAGAAAACAAAAAAGAAATGCAACTTCTCATTTAAAAAACAACAAAAACTAAAAATCAAGCCCCCCCCAAAGAAAAGCAAATATTCCAAGATCTTTCTAGGTGGCAGAAGTTAATTTGTATATGTATTATGTCATGTAAAATTCACATGTAATCATTCTAGTAAAATCTATTTTACAAGGGAGGAAATTAAATTTTAGAAAGCTTAGAATATTATCTAAGTTCTATCAGTAGGAAGTGACAAGAGCCAGGGCAGAAACCTTCCAGCCCGTTTCTGCCTTCTGCTTAGCTTTTGCTTATGTTCTAGACTTTCTAGATTCATATTATATTCTTACTATTTATTTTCATTCAGTAAGCACAATTCACTAGAAATACCTTAGAATGCACTTTTGTTTTTTAAGGTCATACGGTGTACCTGCCACCTAGTGGAACAATAATTTCTCTGAAACCGGATAAATAAATGAAAATTTTATTGACTATCCAAACATCCATCAAACTCACAGGGAGTAATTTGGGAATTTCTGATGCAATCTCCAGTAGACCTTTAACAAGGTGTCTGGGGTGGTTCATGCAGACAGAATAAACAGAATAAAAGGCAGTTCACCTTTTGCAAATGTTACTTTAAAAGAATGCCATGTTGAAATGGGATGAAAGGGAGTTATAGCAAGTTTTATGGTGGAGATTTTTCTAAAATCATTCTGTAACCTTCTTCTGAGGCTTTTTTTTAAATCATATTATTAAATATAAGAGTGACTATGATGGTGAAATCTTAGCCACTTTATACTGAATTCTATATCATCCTGGCTTAATAGTGTTAGATACGTGAGAACATCAAAGTCTATGTAACTGTAACATCAACATCTATGTAACTGTTGATAATCCTAGCAACCATATTCCATTCTGTCACTGTACGATTTTTGCTTTATACTTAATGAAAATAGTACTGATGCTTAATTGCAAATACCCATTAAAGTAGATACAACCCCAGTTGGGAGCAGCTTTAATACCGTAGTCTCAGCTCTCAACATAAATTATATATATATATATATATATATTTATATATATAATATATATATAAATTATATATATATTCAGAGCTTATAAATATTAGAGCAAAGAGGAATCTTTTAAAACACAATTTCTAATGGAGAAAAAGATCTCAGATTTTTATTTTTTGATGTTATACTTCTATAATTTAAGCTTTAGAAAATTAGCCTACAGCTCATCAGCCAAAACTCTAGCAGAGATAATTTGCCTATCTACAAGAGGTATAAACAAGATAACTGAAACAAGATAAAAGATAATTGAAAAAGGAATGTTCATCAACATCAGGAATGGAATTTGGCTTCCAAAATGGGAGGAAACATGATTCAAAGTGTTTATGTTGTATTTATTAGACTAAGTTACCTTATGACACATCTCCAATTATTTTTTTAAAGATGCCATGCATCAGATCTAGAGTGTTCCTCTTCCATACCAATGTGCTAATTTACCAAACATACTGAATAAAGTATCCTTTGGAGGTTACTTATTCAAATTACCAGAGTTTAAATTCTAGAATCAATCTTCAAAGAACTGAGATAAATGTTAAGTTCAATAAGTAAAATTTACATTCTTGGGTGATATTCTCTTATTTGAGTCTCCAAACAAGATGAGGACATAAAATGTATTAATGTCAGTAATTTTGACGCATTAAGTATTGAGATGAGAAGAGCAATATTGAATATCTGAATCAACTAACTCAGCATTGAAGGAAAGAGGGACCGCAGGCTCAAAATTTAAAAAAACAAAAATGTTATTTGTAAGGTCTGCATTGCAAGACAGAAAGAAGAGATAGAGAAATATATAAATAAAAACAAAAACAAAACAAACAAAAAAAGAGCATGCTCATCAGTTAGAGGCCAAGAGATATCCACCGCAGTTCTATAACTCATCAGTTTCCTGAGTAAGATTTTACAATCGTAAGTGCTTTTTCAAGTGAATGGAGCAATTTTTAATGATAGCCATAGATGAAGAAAAAATATGTTTTATATTATTGTAGCATTTAATATAAATAGTATATATTAAGTGTCAAAAGAGCTCTTTTTAAAATTAAGGATATTAAATTTTTTATGAGATGACTATTACTTATGCAGCTTACTATATTGTAGGGTGATTTGGAATGGGACAAAAAATACTAGTTAAAAAGTTTCTACATCATTAAGTGAAGTGAAAAAACAATTATTTGGTAAACAAACCTCCATAACCTATAACAGACACTAAAGTGTTAAGGTTTAGAAAAAGAATATATTGCTGTCTGTTGTTTTTCTTTATCATCATTATTATTATCAAGAAAAGGCCTTTGCCTTTTCTTATTCTAGTACTCCAAAGTCTCAGGAAATGTTTATTTTTATTTTTATTGGAAATTTCTTGAAGCTATAGTATTTGAGACACATGAACAATTATGTTGGAATTTGAATTTCATAGCAATGCCACTGAGGTTATTTTGACAAGGTAATATACTCATTTTCAGTTTATTAAGTCACTTCTATATCATAACTAATAAAAATGCTTTCTACTACTTATGTTTTGGGGGCACATTACCCTTTTCAAAGTTGGCTTGCAAATATTGGTTTACTTTAAAAATATGTATACATACCATTAGAGGAGATTTTTAAGCTAAGATTGATATATGCTTGTATTTTTGTAATTCATCTGAAAAATTTAAAAAGACAATTATTAGCTTTTTTTTTATTTTAAATCTGTAGTAAAAGCCAAAAATGTTATTTTCCCAAAATCAATATTGCCAGTGAGGTTATCCTGAGAGCAATGAAATTATAGTTCATTATGTCTTGTCTCTTCAGATAAATTTGCAAAGAAAAATGAGAGTTACTGGTGTGATTACCCAAGGAGCAAAAAGGATTGGAAGCCCTGAATACATAAAATCCTACAAAATTGCTTATAGTAATGACGGAAAGACTTGGTCAATGTATAAAGTGAAAGGTACCAATGAAGACATGGTAAGATTGACAACATACATAATTGAAACAAAACCCCACTGATAATGATTGATTATCAACTAAGAGTATTTAGCAGAGCCTTATAATGTTGAAAATAAATTTATGATTTTTATTTAAATTGAGCTAGTGTGCTAAAGTTTATGCAAGCTGTAAATTCATAATGACTACCATTTAAGATTTTCTTAGAAGATTTTAATTAATGTCCCTATAAACACTTTATCAAAAAGTTATCGTAGACCTTTGTATGACAGTTAAGCTTTATTTTAACAATAGTCAACTACTTTCAATTTCTTTTTTTTTTTTTTTTTTGTGGGACCCTCGCCAGCGGCCAGGGAATGAACCGGTGCTGCACAGGCTGTGGACAGCCTTGCAGCCCAGAGCTCAACCGCTGCACCACCAGGGGAGGTCCTCAATTTCATTTTTTTTTTTACTTTGACAAAATTATATTATCCTTAATCCATATCTGTCAGTTAAAACAATTGCTTTTAAACATCAATTTTCTTTAGGAAAAATGTATTATTTTAAAGAAGAGCACCAAGTGATGGAAAATATATGTGTCTTTACATACTTCATATTTCAAGAAAATTTTGTTATTTTTAGAGGAAAGATTGTAATATTCAGTATCTCCTTTGCCTTTTCATACGATAGTTCCAATGTTTTATTAATTTGTCCTCAAATTTTTAATTTAAATATGACTCATTAATCTAATAAATGTTATGAAATAATTAAAAAAAATATTTCTTAGGGCCTCCCTGGTGGCACAGGCAGTTGAGCACAGTACTATGAAGCCATATGCAGCCTCAGCAGCATGCGTTTGATCCCGGCCAGCCACGGAGATACCTACATGGCGCGGCAGACCTCTCCTGTCTTGTGCTCTGCTCCCCTGAGCAGTGTATTTCAGTCAGTCTGCCTGGTCTGTTCCCTGCTCTATCTCTGGTGAATCCTTTCACCCTCCCACACATCTGGCCTGTACCCCAGTTCTTATATTCATGAATAAATAAACTTTAAAAAATTACCTTCTTAAATGAATTTAAATAAAATTTTCTGATTGCCAGGTTATATAAAAGATTAAAGAACAAGACAAAGAAATTAACAATAACAGATTTCAGCACTTAATTTTTGGAGGGAAATAGTTTTTCACTGAAGATTATATACATATATACCCATAAAGAATTGTGAGTACCCTATTGATCTGGGACTGACTAACAAGAAAGTAATCTCAAGGAATCAGATCCTAAAATATCATGGTTCTGACCATATTAGAGACACTGACTGATAAGGAATCACTAGTGAAAGGCTGGTCCCTAGCCAGCGAACAAAAACAATAATGTATGTAACAAAATGAATAGGTAGATCCAAGTTAAGTTGAAAATTTAAGGTGTTATTTCTCAAAAAAAAGAGATTTCCTTCCCTGACACTAAGGGACCTGTCTTAACATTAGCAAGAACATCATAGAATATTGATAGATTATACCATAAGCCACTGTGGTTTCTATATTTAATTATGATTTTATTTATAGGTTTCTTATTCACTGCTGATAACAAAATACTTCCTAAATACTCCAGGCTACCAAATTATTTAATCTTTGAAAGATTATGTTCAGTAAGACACAGGGCCAATATATGACAATATGTAAAGAAACTTGTAATTAATAATTTAAATTTCTAAATTATCTCTTTACATACACAGGTGTTCCGTGGAAATGTTGATAACAACACACCTTATGCTAACTCTTTCACACCCCCCATAAAAGCTCAGTATGTGAGACTCTATCCCCAAGTTTGTCGAAGACACTGCACTTTGAGAATGGAACTTCTTGGATGTGAACTCTCGGGTGAGTCCCATATTACCTATTTCAGCACTTTCTTTAAAGACGAAAAGGCACAACTGTATGTAGTCTGCTACTAACTTGCAATTTTTTAACACCCATAGATACTCATTTCCACTACAAATTATCTAGGGTATGGGTCAGTAAGAATGTATCTAACTATTCTTAATGTCCCTGATCTCCTTTGATCTTGGAGGCTAACAGGCTTGGGCCTGACTAGCACTTGGATGGGAGAGTGTGTTTGTATATGTGTATGTATTATTGTATTTTAAAATATGCTACAGAATAGAATCACTATAGAAGGAGCAATGGAGCAATGCATTTTGTGTGTGTGTGCGTGTGTGATCAAGAAAGTTCCACCTATTTTCACAGACCTTTTGTCACATTTTAGTGTTTCTACTTTTAGAAGTGACTATGACTTATGTTTGTGAAAAAAACTTCAGTAAAAACTGGAATCTATCTAACCTCATAAATTATAAATACATATAGGCTATATGGTATCGGAATTGTCTTCCCATCTGCCATAAGAACTTGGTTGGGTTTAATTTTTTTGTGTGTTTAGGTTTATGAAACATGTTTTTATCATTCCTTTTAAGGGACGATACTTCAGTCCCAAGATTGCCACTCTGATGGTTGTCGAGCTCAAAGATAACCTGTCAAAGGACTCGAAGTTAAAATAATTCTTAATTTTCAGTGGCATCAGTACTAGATATAATAATAAAGACAATGTATAGATCTCATAGTAGTCCCATTTATTTTTTACAGATTTATTTATTTATGCATACAAGAGCTGGGGTACAGGCCAGAGATGCAGGGGTGAGAGGATTCACCAGAGACAGAGTGGGGAACAGAACAGGCAAATGGACTGACGTACGCTGCTCAGGAGAGCAGCAGGCAAGTCAGGACAAGTCTGCTGCACCATGTGGTTGCTCCCTGGCCAGTTGGGATTGAACTCATGCTACAGAGGCTGTGGATAGCTTCATAATGCGGTGCTTAACCCCTTGCACCACCAGAGAGGCCAGCGGTCCCATTTAATATAGCTAGATGCTGAACTAAAAAATTTTTCTCCAGGCATTTTTTTGTTGTTGTTGTTGTTGTTTGGTTTTGTTTTTGTTTTTATTTTTTTGTTTTGTTTTTTGTGGGACCCTCGCTGGTGGCCGGGGACTGAACCGATGCTGCAGAGGCTGCGGGCAGCCTTGCAGCACCAGGGCAGGCCCATTTTTTGTATTATATTTTTAATGATTTTTCATGTATTTCTAGCATCAACATTTACAAACTTTCTTTGCCACTGTGACCTGAATTTATTTCATTCAAACAACTATGAAGAAAACTGAAAATTCATGTGTACCTGACTTTTACAAATGTGTAGAGTCTTTATCAAACATATTATCATTTAGTAAAAAAATCAGAGGACACATCCCTTAAAAAAAAACAACTGAGAAGTTTTTATTCATTTTAAACAGTTGTATATAGGTATAAGTACATACTTAATATCTGTTTTCCACTCATAGGTTTATTTGTAATACTGAGAAAGGGAATGATTTTTAAGCAAATAAAAGTTACAATAAAAAAAGCAACTGATTTTTTAGATGACTCATTCCATTTAAAAAATCTAAAGCAATTTGGCCAGGCAAGTGAATCTATTTTAATAGTCACAATTTCATATTATATATGGGTATTATGAAGCCACCCGTTTATAGTTTTACTAGCAATAGTTATCCTAATGGTGATATTTTCTATAGTTTGGAAATTCAAAGCAGCTTATTGACTACAAGTAAATCTCAGCAGAATTATTGCCGTACACTGTTTATATTGCATGTCACTATATCACCACAGGCCAGTGTCATCCCAAAGTCATCCATCATAAAGCAATCAAGAGGAAGCCACAATATGATGAGGCTTGCTGCAAGCCCTGTGGTTTTTAGTTGCTTAACATTATCTTCCCCCATTTTTCAGTCCTTGATTCATGAGGATTAGTCTCTCATACATGGCACAGTTCCACCCCTAAGGTATGAATATATTTCATTTTCAAGTTTGACAAGATGTTACACCTGACACTTTACAGATTTTATGTTCTTAAAAAGAAACTATGCCCACAGTTCCCAACCCCCCAAATTGATTTTGAACTTGCATGCAGAAAATAGTATCTCTTGGTAGATGCTTTCAAAAGCTAGGTCACCTCACTATGGAATAATCAGTTTCATTGTTAATATTTAATTTTGTTCAGGTGCTGTGTGTGCTGATAAAAGACTTAATTAATTTATATGTGTGAAATCATATGGATGAGAAATTTGTGGACAGAGGCAAATTGGCAGAGAAGTTAACTATAACACATGGAAACTGTCATATAATGTACCAAAGAACTATTTCCCACAATCTAGTGCAACACTGTAAAGCCTTGCTGTGTTAAATAAACTGTTATAAGATCTCTCAGCCTGCTAGAAGATCAGCTGCTACCCTTTCCCCAGACTCTTAAATGGGAAATAGCTTAAACTCTCAAATAAAGCTATGATTTAAGATGTTTAGAATGAAATTGATTATGATTGTAATTAGGGAAGGAATTCATTTAGTCTTTAAACAATCATTTAAAACTTCCACTGGGTTAAGTACTAGAGAGCTGAGTAGTTATGAAATGAATTCTCTGATAAGCACAAATCATCCAAGTAAAGGCATCACTTTGCTTTGCAGTAGTTCAAATATATGTTATATCACGAAAGAAGAAAAACAATTATCTTTTCTTTCTCCTTCTCTTCTGTAGGACAAGTAGTTTTACAAAGATTCCAGGAGCAGGGTGGGTTAGAGGTGGTGAATTGTGTTGGTAATAGAAGAGCAGGATAGAATCTATAATGCAGACAACGCATGTTACATTAGAACATGTCCTGAAGATAATCGGGATAGGTATTTCCTAGAAAGTGGAGGGAGAAGTAAACATGAGGGAGCTTCAAAAAGGAAGAGTTGATCTAGACTCAGTTGGCATAAAAAAAAAATTAGTTGTATTTAAGAATAATTTATGCATGAATTATGCATGTTCTAAACCACCTCCCTTAGAACTTGAAATGGCCTGGGTTTAGAAACTGCCACCAAGGCCTCCCCGGTGACACAGCAGTTAAGCACTGGGTTGCGAAGCTGCCCGCAGCCTCAGCAGCACCCTTCAGATCCCCGGCCACAGGGAAAGGGTCCCACATTGTATGCAGACCTCTCCTGCAACCCGCTGCTCCCCTCAGCAGTGCACTTGGTCAGTCTGCCTGCTCTGCTCTCCCCTCTGGCTCTGGTAAATTCTCTCACCCTCCCACGCTTCTGACTGTACCCAGTGCTTGTATAAATAAATAAATACATCTTAAAAAAAAAAAAAAAAAAGGAAACTGCCACCAGCCCTGGAATAGTTACTTAATGTTGCTGTTTGTTGGAATAAAGTGTATGACAACAATAAAAACAGATAACATGTATTGAATGTTAACAATATGTTTATACCATGTCTCTGTATGTTGATTAATTTCTTAGAGCACTTCTTTGGGATAGTTTCTGTTATCATCACCATTTTGCAGATGTGAAAACTAAGGCACAAACTAAACTAGTAATCGGGGTACCAGTACACTAAGAGGAAATGGAATTAAATGAAGAATCTGTCTCTTTTTAACCTTTGTTTCCTTATGTATCTGTGGCCAAATGGACAAAGTTTAACAATTTTTACATATGGAAGATTAAACTCTGGTTAATATAATAGAACCATGCTTCCCATTGCAAACATTGTGAATAGAATTCTGTCACAGTTGCAGTTCAACATTGGAAAGTTGTATATATCATTGTATATACAAATATAATTTTTCAAGTACACATAAATCCAAATCTTGTACCCCATCAAATTTAAAATATATGTGTCATGTGTGAGAATATTCTAACATGAGAGCATATTGAGTATGAAATATAAAAAAAATTACAGGAAGATTTGTCCAGTCATGATTTTTGCTATATTAGCAAAAATATGTCTTCTGTTATTTTATCTGTTAGTTTAAATTCTACACATGTACAATGCTTGAAAATGGCATACATTGAATAAATTTAGCCTCCCACCTCCCAGAAGAAGCCATGTTGTTCAATAACAATCAGTGATCAAGATTAACAGATGTTTCTTGGAAAACAAAATGCTGTCCAGTTTAGAATATAAAAATGGAGCAGTTTGTGAAAATAACTTTTTGGGATTTGAGGGTATTTTCATTCACAATATTAAGAAAACCAAATATACTTTGTGAGAAAATGTTCCATTTTTAAAGAAACACTGAAAGTGTTGCAAGCCAGGAAACAGTCATGAGGCTATTGGTAATGAGACAGGAGAATGCATTTCAGCATTGTTTCCATTTTGCAAAATCATCTATCACAGAAAAGTAGTTTGAAATGTCTGTCTTGTTTTCAATTTTTCCAAAATATATTCAGACAAAATAGCCTGAATTGGCTATCTTGTTTTTTCAATTCTGTTCCAGATTTATTTCTGATTATAGCCTTTTTTTGAATTTAGATGCTCTCTCTTTGGGGAATGAATAGCATTATGCTTAATCTTCTCTTGCCTCTCCAAAATGAACACAGAAAACTTCCAGGATGATAAATTATTTTTCTCATGGAACCCATCACATTTTCTTTCAGGCTGTTCTGAGCCTCTGGGGATGAAATCAGGACATATACAAGACTATCAAATCACTGCCTCCAGCATCTTTAGAACACTCAACATGGATATGTTCACTTGGGAACCAAGGAAAGCACGGCTGGACAAGCAGGGCAAAGTGAATGCCTGGACCTCAGGTCACAATGACCAGTCACAATGGCTACAGGTAATATTTTCAAAAACTCTTTCATACCCACTGCTTCTCTTCTTCAGAAGATTTCCTGTTGGTTAGGTAAAGTCCAAGTCATTACCTTCAAACTAATTTAAATCTATCTTCCCCTTTAGCTTAACCAAATTGGTAAAACAAATTCTTTAAGAAGTCATGTTCATGTGCTGTTTTTATTCTGGTGTTGATTTATAGACACTACTGTCAGATTGCTGCAGCAGATTGTACCAGATCATAGTATGTGTAGGTCAATTCGATTGATTATGAGACCATTTGCATTTTAACTCTCATCTGTTCTAGTGTTCGTGTCAATATTGGTTTGAAAGCATCAGAGCAGAAATCTAAACTGCCTTGAAATCATGCCAGTGACCTGCAGACTATTCCCACAGAATCATGACTCATGACTTATTAGTGCTCTACCTGCGGTTGCTAAGCAATGGAGCAATTTGATTACATTCTCATAAGAGAGCTTGCTTACAGAAGGAAGGCGGAGATACTGCACAGTCTATTTTTTTCATTTGCAAGTGAAGTAAGGTCACCGTGCTTTTAAAAACAATCTTCTTAAAATGCACTTATTTGTTGAGTACTTTTAAATGTGCATAAATTTGTTAATGTGTTCAGTGGCAAAGAAAAGGAAGACAGCTTAATTCCATAATGAGGTGACTTTCTCTGAAAGATACAAGTTCTACTCTTATTGATTTTTATGTTGTATCCATGAGTTTCAAAATTGTGGCAATTTATTGTATTTCTAGAAATCATGTAAGCAATTAAAATAGCAAATGTCACCCCCTGTCAGAAAGCATCTGGAACTGTTCTCATAAATCACATATAATAGCCAGTGGTCCCTTCTAAGTCTTTACTCACTTGAGCTAGCTTCTACTTCTCCTCACAGATAGAAATATGCTTTACTTTCTGTTCACATTTTGTCTGCATCTTTATTGAGCTGGAGTTTTACTTGAGCTCTTTCATTAGCTATCACACATTATGGATATTTATGTATGGTATTGTTCAATCAGCTTTTTGAAGGTAAGTTATATTTATCATTCCAGAACTTAGCCAGAACTCAGTCCTTACCTTGTGCCGCTGAGGGGAGAAATCCTATATTGTGAAAAATTTTACAAAGATGTAAAATAATGGTAATATATTAAAATACATATATTAATAAAAAGTGAATTAAACTATTTAACAAATGAACAAAACTTGTGGGGTACCTAGGAAGCATCACATGTCATGATCAATAGTGATGACAGACAAGCAGCATAGCGGTCATGCTATTAAGACATTACCTCTATAAAGCATTCCTTGGCTTTGTCTTGTATTTACCAAGACATAATCCAATTGTAATACAATAAAAAAATGTATTTTTTGAGAATAGGGATTATGGCCTGGGTCCACAAGCAAGGGGACAGTCCCAAGATGTGTTCCACCAGGGTCAGGACACAAAAAAATGTTAAAAGGACAAGCAGGGGAGTGGGTTGAGCTGATGTCATTTGTTTTGAAACTTTTGGATTGATCAACAGGAATCTTCAGGCAGAAAGCTGAAGTTTGTCATCTTTTGTAACAAGATTTTCCCCTTTCTTTCCTAATGGCTGATGAAGGGAGAACAGGGAGTCGATGTTATTTTGCAATCACTGTGAGAGTGACTATTAGTTGAGTCAGGCCACTTCAGCAATCCACCTAGAATTCTCAGCAAGTCGTTTAGACCCAAGATAGAGTCTATTTGAGTTTATGTAGGTTTCACACTTTAATGATACTGTGTTCTCTTTCCCTCCATCCTCCTAGCTGATGTGTCCCAACATCCCCTGGCCTCCATTATGGGCCAACCTTTTGCCTGTTATCTTTCTGCTAACCTCACTTTTACCAACTTCACACACTTATATTAGCTAACTTAGAGTATTAATGCTTTCAGCTACTGAAAAATAAAAGATTCAGTATGTCTAGAATCATTTCACTTATCCCCACACACACTTCCATGGTCTAAGCTATCACCCTTTTAAAAAAAAAGATTTAATTATGCATACAAGAACTGGGTTGTAAGCCAGAGGTGGGGGGGGGGGCGGTGAGAGATTCACCAGAGAGTGGGGAGCAGAACAGGCAGATCTACTGAAATACACTGCTGAGGGGAGCTGAGGGCCAGACAGGAGAGGTCTGCTGCACCATGTGGGTTGCTCCCTGGCCAGCAGGGGATCAGCTGCTTCAGTAGCTGGCCATAGCTTGATAGAGCTGTCTTTAATCCCTGTGCCACGAGGGAGGCCCTACCACCCTTTTGTCAAATCAGGGATTTTGCAACAACCATGATATTTTTTTGCCTAAAATGCAAGTACTATTGTCTTAATCCTTTGTTTAAACCCTCAGTTTCTCCATATGACTCTCAGAATAGTCTGGATCTCATAATGAAACCTAAAAGAATTCACATGATTTGGCCCCACACTCTTCTAAACTTGCTTCACTTTCTCAAACCTAACATTATCTCTTTCCTCCATTCATTATAAATGGCCTCTTCTGAGAGGAAAAAAACAGAAAGAGCACTGCACCTCTGCTCACAGCCTGTCCAACCTTTGTTAGTAAAAACCTTCAGCTACAATTCAGATGCATCTTCCGCTAGGAATGCTTTGCCACAAGCTCCATCTCACACCAAATCTGACCTAAGTTCTCTTCTGCATAACTCTGTTACATCTTTAATTCTTTTGTTGTGGCATTATCACATAGTTTTGGAAGCTGCGTTTTTATGTTAGATTGTTGGCTCCTAGAGGAATGAGACCAGATCTATCCTTTGACTTTTTTGTTGTCTAGTACCTAACTAAATAATTATCCCAACATCTGAAACATGAATGAATGAGTGAATGGTTCAAAGTATAATTCCAATTATTTATTTGGGCCTAAATAGGATATAATTTTGATTTCCAATTTAAGAGATCAGCTGCTATTATCCTCAAATTTTTGAATAATATTTGAAAAAGAAGTCTAAGATCTCATATTAAAGATCTAGCCTTTTTTTTTTTTTAAAGATTTATTTATTTATTTATACAAGCACTGGGTACAGTCAGAAGCGCAGGAGGGTGAGAGAATTCACCAGAGCCAGAGCGGGGAGCAGAGCAGGCAGAAGGACCGAAGTACACTGCTGAGGGGAGCAGTGGGCGGCAGGAGAGGTCTGCACGCCATGTGGGACCCTCGCCCAGAGGCCAGGGATCGAACCAGTGCTGAAGAGGCTGCAGGCAGCTTCGCAACCCAGTGCTCAACCACTGCGCCACCAGGGAGGACCTGGATCTAGCCTTTTTAATAAAAAAATTATAATTAGTCTTTATGAAATTTTCAAGTTCTTAACTTGATGAAACCATGGAAGGATCTTTTTTTCATTTGTTAGACTTGAATGGTGGAGCTAAAACTTTTTTTTTGTTGCTATATAATATTTCTTAAATTGGAAATATCCCAGTATTTCAGAGTAACTGAACATAGCTAATATTATTTGTGAGTCATAAGGCCACGTGCAATAAGACAACATATTTTATACCCTTAAGTAACTCAGGCTAGTAAAATGAAAAATAGCCACATGAAAGGATTGTCAATGGCATATTTCTTTTGAAAGATAAAAATAAATAATATATATATAGTTACACAAATCAGGCTGTAATCTTCAGTGCAAACCTCCATCCATCACTTTTTTAAAGATGACTTTTCAGCTGTCTTCCTCAAGTTACTTGCAAGCTGAAATTGATTCATTCTTTTAGTGACAGATTTTCTATCAATTCAAGGACCAGTGCTTCCAGTATGTTTCTGTTTTATCTTTTGTTGTGTCAAAACATAGTCAGAATCTCTAAGGTAAGGTAAATTGGCATCTTTACTTTTATTTTAGTTTTTTTATTTGACATCATACAAGAAAATGCTGTAGAGTTGTGACTATTTTATTTTTAGTGTTTGCTCCTTAAGAGAATATAATCTCTTCAGTTGTACATTCTTGTGCTTGTTAGTGCTTGTGCTGAAAATGAGATAAAAAAAAATTTGCAATGATATATTGGGTGACTTTGTGTTTAAGTTGTTGATAGTCAATTGCATTCCTAGTCTAGGGCTTCTGAACTTAAAAATATTAGTTATATTTTAAACTGAAACATTAATTTTGATCAATAGGTCTTCTGAAGACAAAACATGTCTCTCATTTAAATTCCATTCTGTCATCAATCTCCTGTTAACTGAATTTTTAAGGAATTTCCTTTAAATAACAACTGTTCATGTAAAAGAGAGTTTTATTTCAGTTTAATAAGATTTTCTAAAACCTAACCACATAATATGTGGAAATCCAATTGCCAGCTAAAAACCCTAAAATGCCTTTTTTGCCTAATTGTAATATATTTAATGGGTGTTTATGTATTCTTTTTAGAATTTTTTTATGTATTGAAATATAATTTTAACCCCTTGTTTTCTATTATTATTTTAATGTTTCTTACAGTTTCTTCTATGAGGTCAAAATCTCAAGAATTTCTTGAGTAAATGTTAATTTTTTTTTTAGAAATGATCTACCTAACTCATTATCATCTTGAGCTATTTAACTATGAAATCATTTTACTATTTCTAATTGATAAGGTAAAGATAAGGTTAAGTCCACAGTAGTGCTAAATGAGAGAGGCTTTTCTCAGACCTCTGAAAAAATGTTCCATCACTTTGATGTGTATGATAATATTCAAAACTTTCAGCAAAAAGACTTGCAATGTATTTTCCAAAATCATTTCAAGTTGAAATTGTAGCTTCTGCCTTTCAGAAAAACCTTATATACACCAAAATTGAAAAACTTGAGCCAATCATTTCTGACTCATGTTGGACATTCATAACATATGGTTAGACTACATTTTAATCCCTTTATGATAATAAAGAGGTGTTTAATCCAATGAGATCTTTTAGGATCAGATTGTTATCTTCCATGTTTAGTTTCTATTAAAAAAAAATAGGCAGCCAGAAATTTTGTTGAATTTTAAAATGGATTAAATAAGAGAAATGAGAGAAAGGGG